TACACAATATACACAATATACACAAATGAACACGTTACAATTAGTTTTGAAATCTTGATTATTTTTGGATATAATTAAGAAAAAAAATTATAAATTTGACTACTAATTTTTTTCGGATATTACCAATTTTATCTCTTGATATTTTGACCGGGAAATTTAGTTGAAATATTGACCACTGCATCTTTTTCTAAACTGAAGAAATTATTCTAAGATTTCCTTCATTTCTTATTATTTTTTATTACAGATAAACGCCTTTATGGTGGATTTACTAAATTGTTCCAATTATAATTTTATGCTTACTGGCGTTTGTGACCAATTATAAAATTTATACATGATTTACCTCAGCCATTTTACCTTTTTACGTAATTGCAGATTTTCTTTATTCCTAATTCTATTAGTCCAGTCTAAGAAGATATATAAATATAACCGTCAAATTCAATTAAAACTAAATATAAAAAATCTGATGTGTCCAACACATGACTTTCCTATCTAGTTAACCTATTGCAGCATCTCTAAAAATGTTTAGAGGATAAACTAAGTATATACATTTTCCACATACATCTACCTCGAAACATTTTTCTATAGATATTCATTGAAAACGAAAATACTGAAAAATTTTAATTTAGCACTTTTCCTCCAATTTTTCCATTACGGTCCATTTTAGAAAAGTCATTTAAAAACAAAAAATATAGAGATCGATATCGCAAACAACTTTTAGATTAACAATTTTCTTAAAAATCAGAATTTTGCATATTTTGTCAAATTTCTCGAATACGGACCATTTCAGGAAAATTTGACATAGAACAAAAATTATAGATAATAATATTGTAAGTAACTTTTATTTAAAAAATTTTCTTCCCCAAACGTAAATAACGAATATATTCCATAAAATATAAAAATGACCACCAATAAAGTACCCCCCCAGATGTTCCGACTTTGTCCAAAATCTAATCATTTCACGTCAGGCCGAAATAAACCTTAAGTTTAAAATTTAATGTTTTTTTCTTTATCCGTTTTTGAGTTTTCTTCAAAATTCGAAATTTACATATTTTCTCAAATATCTCGAATACAGAAATTATGTATAGAATAAAAATTATAGAGAATTATATTACAAACAACTTTTATTTGAACAATTTTTATAAAAATTTTTTTTTTACATTTTGTCAAATTTCTCGAATACGGACCATTTTAGGAAAATTTTTCATAATACAAAAATTATAGATAATTATATTAGAAGTAACTTTTATTTGAAAAATTTTCTTCTCCAACCATAAATAACAGATATATTCCATAAAATATAAAAATGACCACCTATAAAGTACCCCCCAGATGTTCCGACACTGCCCAAAATCTAATCAGCTCATTGGACGCTGAAACAAAGCTTAAGTTTAAAATTTGGTGTTTTTCTGTGTATCGGTTCATGAGTTATGCGTTATACAGACACACACACACACTGACACACACACACACACTGACACACACACACACACTGACCACACACAGACATCATCGCGAAAATAGTCAAAACGGATTCAGGGGACCTCAAAACGTAAAAATCCGTCGAAAACTCGAGGTCGAAAAAATCATGATTCCTATACTTTCCTTATATCTGTATACAGATAGGAAAGTAAAAAATCTGATGTGTCCAACACATGACTTTCCTATCTAGTTATTATAGGCTTTTTCCGGTTATTTTGTACAACCTATTGCAGCATCTCTATAAATGTTTAGAGGATAAACTAAATATATACATTGTCCACATACATCTACCTCGAAACATTTTTCTATATTCATGGAAAACAAAAATACTGAAAAATTAAAATTTCCTACAATTTTTTCATTACGGTCCATTTTAGAAAAATCATGTATAAACAAAAATTATAGAGATCGATATCGCAAACAATTTTTATTTCAAAAACTTTCATAAAATTCAGAATTTTGCATATTTTGTCAAATTTCTCGAATACGGACCATTTCAGGAAATTTTTACATAAAACAAAAATTATAGATAATAATAGAAGTAACTTTTATTTGAACAATTTTTTTCTCCAAACATTAATAACAGATATATTCCATAAAATATAAAAGTGGCCTCCCATAAAGTACCCCCCCAGATGTTCCGACTATGTCTAAAATCTAATCATTTCACGTCAGGCCGAAATAAACCTTAAGTTTAAAATTTAATGTTTTTTTCTTTATCCGTTTTTGAGTTTTCTTCAAAATTCGAAATTTACACATTTTCTCAAATATCTCGAATACGGTCTATTTTAGAGAAATTATGTATAGAATAAAAATTATAGAGAATTATATTACAAACAACTTTTATTTGAACAATTTTTATAAAAAAATATTTTTTTTTTACATTTTGTCAAATTTCTCGAATACGGACCATTTTAGGAAAATTTTGCATAGAATAAAAATTATAGATAATTATATAAAAAGTAACTTTTATTTGAAGAATTTTCTTCTCCAAATGTAAATAACAGATATATTCCATGAAATATAAAAATGACCACCTATAAAGTACCCCCCCAGATGTTCCGACTCTGCCCAAAATCTAATCAGCTCATTAGACGCTGGAACAAAGCTTAAGTTTGAAATTTGGTGTTTTTCCGTGTATCGGTTCATGAGTTATGCGTTATACAGACACACACACACACACACACACACACACACACACACACACACACACACACACACACACACACACACACACACACACACACACACACACACACACACACACACACACACACACACACACACACACACACACACACACACACACACACACACACACACACACACACACACACACACACACACACACACACACACACACACACACACACACACACACACACACACACACACACACACACACACACACACACACACACACACACACACACACACACACACACACACACACACACACACACACACACACACACACACACACACACACACACACACACACACACACACACACACACACACACACACACACACACACACACACACACACACACACACACACACACACACACACACACACACACACACACACACACACACACACACACACACACACACACACACACACACACACACACACACACACACACACACACACACACACACACACACACACACACACACACACACACACACACACACACACACACACACACACACACACACACACACACACACACACACACACACACACACACACACACACACACACACACACACACACACACACACACACACACACACACACACACACACACACACACACACACACACACACACACACACACACACACACACACACACACACACACACACACACACACACACACACACACACACACACACACACACACACACACACACACACACACACACACACACACACACACACACACACACACACACACACACACACACACACACACACACACACACACACACACACACACACACACACACACACACACACACACACACACACACACACACACACACACACACACACACACACACACACACACACACACACACACACACACACACACACACACACACACACACACACACACACACACACACACACACACACACACACACACACACACACACACACACACACACACACACACACACACACACACACACACACACACACACACACACACACACACACCATCGCGAAAATAGTCAAAACTGATTCAGGGGACCTCAAAACGTAAAAATCCGTCGAAAACTCGAGGTCGAAAAAAATCATGATTCCTATACTTTCCTTATATCTGTATACAGATAGGAAAGTAAAAAGGAAGTATAAGCAATTTAATAACTGGTGAATGGACACGAGCATCCAAAATCAAAATGCACAACATAGTCTCTCTGCTGACCCAAAAAAATATAAAAAAAAATGTAGAAAGTAGTGTGTACAAATTGGTTGACAAATAATTTATTGAGATAAAGAGTTATATCCTATATTTTATACTCATATTCAATGATTTTTTTTTTCTTGTACAAGAAACAATTTTACAATAATTGTTAACATTATTTATGTCAAACTTATTTTCTAAACACTAGTTGTTGACAATAAGATACGTTGTTGGGGGCATCACAATCGGAGCTATTTTTATTGAAGATAAGATTTTTAGGTCTTTCCTATATTTTTGCTTTTCAAATGTGAGAAGTTTATACAAATCATCAAAAAAAAAACAAAAAAAAAAAGATTTGATCCTTGCGGAACTCCCGATAAGGCACTATATTTGCTAGAACTGTAGCTAATATAAAAAAATGTTTTCTTTTATTAAACTTTGAATTAAGAAACTGTATGACCTTAAAAATATATCCAAATTCTGCAAATTATTTAACAGGAAAGAATGAATGATTTTTTGAAGATCTTTGAGAAGTCTATATAGATATCGTTTACGTGGCCTAGTTTATCTAAAACCTTTGATAAATTGTGTGTGATTATTGAGTTGTGTTGTAAGGAAGAAATCTACTTTAAGATAAACATGGTCATTACAGGGTGGCTCATTGAAAACGTTCCGCAAGGCATTACAGGGTGGAAAAACATTTTTCGGCGAAATCCAAAAACATCTCAAGTTTGTTTGTCATAGGGACAATTTTTGACGCAAAAAGCATAGTAAAGCCTTCAACCCCCTCAGTAGGAGTGTCATCTTCCAAATTTTTTCAAAGAGGAAGATGCTCAAGTGATACCTCATTCTTGTCTTGTCACTCCCTATAAAACGCTGCTGTGTGTTTGAAAAACTCGTTTAGAAAATTATGGAGCCTTGATAAAGTTCAAGAACTATCTTTAAAAGTCATTGTCTTCACTATAACTACTGGTATAATTATCATATTTTCTCGCCATTCTTATATAACTGTAAAATTATAATATATAGTAATATATAGTAATACAATATTCCGAACTAATTAAAATACATACGATACGGATATGAATAAATAAAGTCTGACTTATCTGTCAAAAAAAAGGTTTATTTTATTACAGTAAAAAACATAGAGTTGATAATTAAAAAACATAGAGTTGATAATTTGCTCCGATTGGAAGTTAGGACCTTAAAACTGTTTTTTCCATTCCTCCCTTTGAATGGCTGTATCTCCTTTATTTCAAAGTTTCGGACATTAGTTTATATACTTAACAAACTGATCTTAATTTTCGTTGTTCTATCACCTCTCAAAATATTCCTTTCTGACTCACCTTGTATATATTCACACTTTTTACATAGAAAAACGTCAACAACTGGTCTACAGGAAATAAAAGAAACCGAAAGCCACTTAAATTCTAACATCCTCATGTGCCACGACAAATTGTCGCCTAACTTAGGTCATACCGCTTAACGAACCAGCGAACAATTCAATAAAGAATAACGGTGCAACTGACATAAAAATCCACTATTGAGGCTTCCTTCGAGTTTACACACCAGTTGCTCATACAAGTTTGCTGAAGTAACTTACGGATTGTAACTTTATGGTCGTTCTTCATTATTACGAACTTCGAGTATTTTTCTGTTGGTGTGCATATTTTCTTAGTTGAGTGAAGTTTTATTTTTTTGTAAAAATTGGATTTTGTTTCTTAGAAGTTATGCGCTTCTAAAAAAAGTAAGTTTAATTTAATAATATTTGTATATATAAAAAGCTTTGAATTTTACATAAAATACCTATCATTTTTGTATATCTTCTAAGAATAACGAACTTTGCTTATTAAATTTAAAATTAATAATATACCATACGAGCTTATAAATAATATTACCTGAAGAACATTTTATTATCATTGTTACTTAATTATATGTGAATATTTAATGATGTGAATCTACATAAAAATATTAAAAGATACCTAGATCACTTTATAAACTATGGTCCAGAAATATTCCGTTAAAGTTTTAGGAAAAAAAAAAGAAAATTAATTAATATTTTCATAACCTCTTGACAAATTTTCATGATATTTAATATTCAGTGACAGTTAATAATGTTGCATATTTTTTAATACAAAAATTATTTTTAATTCTAACAGTGGCGTGCGTATGGGTACTAACTTCGATATTTTTGAAGAAAAAAATTGTACGCCAATGGTTTTTTCCAAAATCAAAATTATTTTTGAATTTTCCTTTCAATTTGAAGTTTAAATGATTCCTTGTGTTGTTTTCCTACGATGCTTCATTTTTGAGTAAAAAAATAAAATCCGTTGTATCTAATTTCCCAGCAAATTAATGTAAATAGTTATTAAAGAAGGCAAATGAACATTTTGGACATTTGGACTATAGTTTATAAAGAAAACTATCTTAGACTTCTCATCCTTAAGTATTCGGGGCCATTGTCGAGTTTGAACTCTTTTCGTTTATGAAAAAACTAAAATGTACTTACTAAACGATTAAAAGTAATGTGTTTATTGTGTTTATATCGAGTTTATACATTTGAGCAATCCTAAATATTCTACATTTACTAGACATGTTGTGTTTAAAGGTGACAATCAAATTTGAATATATAAAAACTACAATGAAAATTTACTCTTTTATAAAGCTATTTACCTTACTCAGAAAAATATTTCAGTTCTGGGTCTGTAGGTATATTTATACCTCGATTTATACATAAGTTACATTAATTTAAGTTATTTTGAAATAACTATTTTTCAACCCGACTACCTACTTTAATAAATATCGAGAAAGTTACCCATTCTTGGGTATTTTCACAAAAATAAATACCTCGGTATTTAACATCACTAGTAATACCCAAAGAAAATACCGAGGTGTACACAAGAATACTCAATATACCCATCGGGTGCTGTTCTGTAATTCGGCGAGAGACTTCACGTTTGTCCAACAAAAGTGTTCGTTTGTCCACACTTCAAAAAAAAGTTATGACAAAACTAAAACAAATTTAAAATCAACACCGAATTTTTTTTATTGATTTCTAAGTGGAATTTAATCGTCCATGATTTGCCCACATTTGTCCAATCTATAGTTTTGATTGTCCACCCCTCAAAACAGATAATTAAAAAATAAAAAAAATATATAAGTACACTACATTCGAAATAAATACAGCAATCGTTTGTCCACTCTTTACACAGTAGTCTGAGAAGAGTATTATCGGTTTACTTTATACGAAACCAAAATTTTTAATATTCGTCCAAATTTAAAAATATTTATATCAAAATCCTTCTCATCAAATTTTAAACAACTTTTAAAAATGTCCGTCCTTCCAATGTCACGGTTTTTGTATGCACGATAAGTCAAAAATGAAAAATGATTTCAGTAAAAAGCAATCTCTATAAGGGTACGAAGCCAATTCATAAAAAAAAAATTTAAAAAATGGGGGTTAGGGGAGGTTAAAATTTAAAGAAAACAAATTAAAAACGAAAAACATGTTTAGGACATATGAATCTCTATAAGGGGACGAAGCCTATTGAGTTAAAAAAAATATTATTTAAAATTGAGGAGTTAAGGGGAAGCCGAGGGGGGAAACATAAAAAAAATCATAAAATAAAAACGAAAAACAATATCAACTTCAAATTTTCAGGAAATTCAAGCTCTACAATGGGACAAAGCCTATTCATTTAAAAAAAAATGATTAAAAATGGGGGATTGCGAGGGATTAAAATTAAAGAAAAAATATTATTAACTTGAAATGTTTAAGAAAAATCAAGCTCTGCAATGGGACGAAGCCTATTGATTTAAAAAAAATCTTATTTAAAATGGAGTTATTAAGGGGGGGGGGGGATTGAAACTTAAAAAAATGATAAAACAAAAAACAATATCATCTTGAAATATTCATAAAAAATCAAGCTCTACGAGACGAAGCCTACTGATTTTTAAAAAACTGATTAAAACTGGAGGTTTCAAAGGAGGTTTGTTTAACTGTGAAGAGTATCATCATATATCGAGTCATATATCTTCATTCTAGTTTTTGTTTGTCCTCCGGACAAATAAAGAACTCAAAAATTAACAATTATCAATATAAGTACTTCTAATAGCAATTTATTAAAACAAACTACTGCCATCGTTTGTCCACACATTATTTTCATTTATCGAGAGCTTATTTTCGTTTGCCCACTCAAAAAAAAATAGTTATTAACATGTAAAGATCTCAAAATATGAACAATTATCAATACAAGTACATACTTCTAATATCAATTTATTAAAACTAACTACTGCAATCCTTTGTCCACACATTATTTTCCTTTATCTACCTATGCTTTATTTTCATTTGTCCACCCTAACGTGAACGTTCTATAAAAAAAAACAAGATGGTTTAGTTAATCAACAATTCCGTGAAAATTAATTTTAGCCTGAAATCACTTATGATTGTCAACAGTTGGAAATAGTGGCAGTTTTCCAAGCTATTAGTAATGAAAAACAAGGAAAATTATAGTGACCATGACATTTTTATTTCCCAGTCTTCTGTATCTGTAACGTGTGGAGGGTGGGTTACCCCCACGGCACTTAGGCCACATTAGGCCCATATTTCCCAGTCTTATTGAATGGTTTACATATTTTCTTACTGTCTCCCAAAATACCAATTCTCTCAAAGTACCAGACATTTTAATGATAACCATAATTTTAAAGGTAAAATTAGGTATAAAAGATTTTATTTATTTATTTATTTATGTTTGGATTTCAACAAAAGTATTTTATGATTTTCGTAGGCAGCTTCCTTAGTTTGAAGTGCCAACAACGTATCTATATATCTCTCTCTCTCTCCTTCTCTGATATAGGGGTCTATTCTGTAACAATTCCTTTATATTTAACGGCCTTTAAAAATATTGGCGGCCTTTAAAAATATTGGCGGCCTTTAAAAATATTGGCGGCCTTTAAAAGTATATTTGTATTCGTTAATTTACTTATGTCATTATTTAAACAGATTTCTTTAACAAAGTCCTTTAATGTATTTTAAAAATCCGTTTAAATAATGACAGAAGTAAAGAAGAAAATATTTTTAAAGGCCGTTAAATATAAAGGAATTGTTACAGAATAGACCCCATAGTCTCTTCGGATGTTTTATAAAGGCTTATTATTGTCCTTTTATAACTTTAAATTAAAAATTTCTGATTTATCTTTAACATTACCAGCCATGCGGAAAACAAAACAAAATCGAGCAATACATTACCAACAGGTTTATTTACGTTTATTTTAAAGTACACACAATATACTTCTCAAACTAAGCAAATAGTTGCCTTAGAATGTCTGTGTTTGTTTCTCCACTTTAATGGAAATGGAAAAATAAATAACCGCAATTGTCAGATTGCAATTCATTCGCATTAAAGGACAAAGGAAAACATGTCAGCGCTAACCTTAGAAAAATGGGAATATTTGTTTCGATTTATCGGAGCATCGGTTATAAAATACTAATAATAATTATCTTTATTACTATTTAAAAAAAACTGGTTGGTATTTTCTTGATTTAGCAACCATAAAAGTTTATTTTTACTGTTACACAATACAATCGAACATTCTTGATGCTAACATATTCTTTGATTGGTGTGCTCGTTTTTTTTTAACCGTGATTATAAAATGAACTGGTTTTCTCATGTATTTTTCATAAACAACTAGATAGAAGCGACTTTTCTTTTCGAATAAGCACTTAAAATGTTTTGTTGAATAGGGATGTGGCTGGCAAATGCTAGGTTTATAGTCAGTTCGCGTAGGACTGTTTCTTGTATAAAATGACAATTCCTATGTTTATTCTTTTTCTATTCTGATAAACTAATAAACTTTTTAAAAGTTTAGATCGCCGAAGTGTTCAATAATAATATGTTCTACCCAATTTTCTGTCATCCAATTTATTAATTTGTCATATTCTGTATCATAGGCCTCTTTCGATTTGTTCGGCAACAAGTTTTGTGCTGCTTTTTCAGCTTCTTTACTGTTTTCGTTTTCCCACCGAATTCAGAGACCGCTGATAGTTGTAAACTTATAAAATCGTCGCCATCAGGACATAAACATCTACTTAATACCCTTGGCACGTAAATAACTATTACTTACTTTTTGGCTGGCTGGTTTTAAACAAAAAGTAAAATAAATGTACTATTATAGTGCTACGCTCCTGAATGTTATCTTTAATCGCTTAATTGGTTCATAAATGAAGCATATAATGTCTGTAAAGTGGCGAAAGACGTTTTTTCTTATTAAGTAATATTACTTTTTCTTATTATCGACAATTTAGAAGCCGTTTTGGATTAATTTAGAATATTATCTACTTTTATCAAAAAATAAATAGGTTAAAATAGAAAATATTTGATGGAGTAATTAAAATAATGAAGACATTTATTATATTATCGCTATGAACTAGAAAATAATGTATTTATTATTTTCTTAATATCTTCAAAATTCAGTAATATAACTGTATATAGATTCCGTTATTGCGTTACTTTTTATTTTAGTGCCTTCTAGCAGGATAAAAAACTAAACATAGTTAAAATCTGTTAGTAAAATGAGAGCTTTTCTGAGGAAGAGAAGATAAATAAGCACGTCTGTGTTTATTTTACACATATGTGCAAAAGTATATTTATGCAAATTCTCTTATAGGTATGGATATGTAATTAATACTTTGCTTGACTAAAATGGTATGAGACTTGAGGCTTTGTACCACTGTTTATATTTAGGTCA